AACTCCAGTCCCCTGAAGAACATCTGAAGTGTAACCTAGGAGAAATCTGTTGTAATTTGCTCTCCTGCTCTCTGTATTTATAAGCCTACAATATTGTAAGTTTTTACTGTGGGTGGACAAGCAACATCCACTCATATCAAAGCAGATACAAGTACAGATAAATATAACTTTATACATTCATTTTTATATAACTTATGCAAATGTATGCACAAGTTAGTCACAGTCCCCAGGCTGGCAGCAGCTCTGATGTGGCCATTGTTGTAGCTCGTTTTGGACACCAGTGTTGCTGGACAATCCTGCTGCTTCCAAGCAGAGCTTTGCATGTGTGAGTTTGTCTGCTATAGCAAGGTTTGTCAGGATGGGCGCAGTCATGGCAGTTCTTCATCTCTTCAGCCAAGATGTGGCTTAGGCAAGCTGCGTGTGGAGGCTCCCGGTGGTTTTTTTTTTTTTTTTTTTATCTCTTGAGGGCATTAGCAAGAAGGGTTGAAGTCTGAAAACTGAGGCCCAAGGAGCTGGCTTGTGCATGGACTGCAGCCCTCACTGGCATCTGTGTATTCACAGAATGATTTGGGTTAAATATCATCTCCCCTGCCACAGGCAGGGACATCTTCCACTAGACTGGTTGATCAGAGCCCCATCCAACCCTCAGCTTCATCTCCTCATCAGCCACCTCCCGTGACAGCTAGAGTGTTGTTCTCCACCTTTTTAATTAAATAAAACTTTGTCTTTTACCCCGTTGCACAGCTGGTTGCTCCAGAAAAGAAGAGTTTCTTTAGCACTTGCTGTTGAGTACTAACTGACCATCTTAAAAAGCAAATCAAAGACCACAGACACAGCAGCATATTGTTCTTTTCTGTGTGAACTTATCTGTTCCCCAAAGACTAAACAGAACAAAAGGGACAGTTTTGGTATGCTGGGTTCAGTTGTCAAAATTAGTATTCTTAATGTTCTTCCTTATTTTAAACACCCATGAATAACTTGGTCCCTACTGCTTAGATTATAGATTTTAGTGTATGAATTTTAATAATTCTAATTAATGGTGCTATCTTTATTATATTACTTTGTACTTGGGTTCACTCTTTCATCACAAGATCTCAAAGCACTCTATTAAGCTGCACCAAATCTTTGTAAAGTAGATGAATTTTAGCCTATTGAGTTTATGTATTGGATAAGTGTAGTAAAGGGAATGAACAGTTTTTCCAAAGTTCATTTCAGAGCTCTGCATTGATTCTCTGCAATATTTAAACACTGGGAAAATTAGGCTCCAGAAAACTTGACTCCCACTTCTACCCAGAGTCAAATTATGGATCTCTTTACTCTCCATTTTGAGTTTCAAGTGATCTTTGAAGACTCACAAATACAAATTTTTCAAATATGAATAGTGATAATTATATCCATATTATTAATATGCACTGTTAAAAGAAATAAATCTACATTTGCAAAGCTTTGATGTGCTTACAAAAACTGAACTTTTAAATGAAAGTGTGTTTTTAAATCACGTATGTATTACAGAAATCTGTTCAGACAGTCTCACAAAGATCTGCATATGCTCAGAGCAATGCTTCGTGTGCTCCTGCAGCTATGCCCTGGGAGCATCACAGATATCTGATGGAAGAGACCTGCTCAGCACCTCACAGGTTTTTTCTCAAACCAGTTTTGTTGTTTGTTAATTATGGTAATTTTTAAAAATCTGTTTGATGTGTGTGTATATATATATATATATAAAATTTTTTTTGGTGTGATTTTTATGGTGCTGTAGTTTGTGCTGTGAGAATTACCACCTGGAGATTCTGTCTGCTAAATCCACAACAGATCTCTGTGGTGGACTGTTAGCTCTGATAACCTCACATTTCAAATCCACCAATTATTGTAGATATTGTAGTACTTTTCTTAAAAGTTCTTCCTCTCCTTTCCCACTACTCCACACCAAGGTGAGAGCTGGTCATTCACCACATGGATTTCCTCCTTCTAAAGGATTTTCATATTTAAGACTTGTTAAATAGTTCAAACTGCTACATCTTTACTCTTTCTTTTCCATTTGGGCATTTTAAGACACTTAGCTGGTTTAAAAATAATAAAATTGTGACCTTTAGTTGACATTCCAAGCTTGTGTTTTGAATGCTATGCTTATATTTTGAGGTTGCTACCTTGGAAAATCAAGACTAACTGGACTGACTAATTCTGCTTACCTCCTTTTAATGCTTTTTTTGGGGTGGGGAGTTTTAGTCTGAAGGAGCATGTTTAAGAACCAGTCTCTGCCTGGGCTGCTGAAGGCAAAAGGTGCTTGAGAGTGAAACAAAAATGTTTTGAAGAGCAGGATTGGACTCCCTGTCCCTTCTGCACTAACCATCAACAGCTGGAGAACAGGCTGCAAGAGGATCATGTCTCATGGACATGTGAGCAAAGGCTTGAGGCTTAGCAAAGTTTTCAGGAGAAAGGTACAGGTTTTTTTGTTGCCTTTGCTTGATTGTATTTAAATGGAATGGAAGCTTTTAAATGCTAGTACAGATCTTTGTAAAATATGTAAGTTGCAGTACGTGGACTTTCCGTATCAGGTAAGTATGGCAATATGTGTTTTTTTGTTTTTTTGTTTTTTTTTTTAGTTTATAGCTATTTTTACCAAATTGCTGAACAATGCAGCTAAGCAGCAGCAGGAGGAGGACTTAGGTGGGAGGGGAAGGTAAGAAAAGTTGGGGGAAAGACGAAAGGATGTCTGTTGGTGTCCAGGGAGTCTTCAGGCTTCTGCATTATGGCTTCAAACACTGGCACCAGTGAATTCTACCTATTCCAGCAGCAGTTTTGGTCAGCACAGGTGTATATGGGAGGATGTCCCATTGCAATTTATGGCTCTCAGTAGGGATGGCACAGTGCCTGTGCCTATCTGGTTCCAGTTCATATGTGGTCAGAACATGTTTGATCTCCTCCAGAAGACAAGAAGTATCCCACAGCCACCTTAATGTCATCCACTCTGGCATCTGCTGAAACATCTGGTGGTGGCTGGTGTTGGAGACATTACAGTGGATGTGTTGGGAAACCCGTCTGGCTCAGGATGAGAGTTTTTCTCTTCCTCTGTGCTGCACAGCATTGGGGGATCTGGAAATCCTTCATGCTCTGACCTTTTGGAAGTTGAAATGCTTGGTGCAGGGCTGTCGTTGAAAAAACAGCATTTCCTGCTTAAAACTTTGTGAGGCATATTTTTATTTCAATTGTGTACTTAAAACCACTGGTTAAAAATGGGGTATTTTTAACTATTGTCTTAGACCATTGTATTTTAGTATAAAAACCTACCCTTTGTTTCTCAGTGATACCCTTTTGCAGAATGTAGTTATGTGGGGATAGTGTTGACTAGTAGTTATTTATTTGGTCAGACTGGTTAGTTTACCCTCAAACTATGCATTTCATTTTTGCAGTGGCATCTTAAATAGTTATTTAGAGAAGAGCTGCAGAAGACAGAAACTTCACAGAGGAGGGGAAGAAAAAAAATCAAAATTAAAAAAAAAACAACACCACACACAAGTTGGAAGGGCTTAGAATAAATTATTGCATGTCATTCTGTGGGAAAATCTTCCCGTACGGATGCTGTGTTGTTCGCAATGTGAGTGCCAGATCCACTCAGCTCTGCTTTGCACTTCTGTCACCCTTATCACTCATGAGACAATCCTCTTCTACTGTAAGTGCTACCCCCAGCGGCATGTATTCATTTATAGGACTCGCATGCTTATGCTGAAGTCAGGCACCCAAGAGGCACAGGATGAATTGACAGTATAGGCAGATGCTTTCAGCAAAGGAACCAGGATGTTAAAAGAGCTTTAGCGTGGTTATTGTTTTGCCAGGCAAATCCATGTACTTGTCATCAAGGTGTTCAGGAGTATTTCAGCCTCGTCGTACAAGCTGAATACAAGAGCTGTAATCAAGAGTTACATCATTTGGTGAGACAAGACCTTGAGGAATACAGCAAAGGGAAATGTGCATAATTAGAACAGTTCAGTTACAAGGGAAAGGGGCTTTGATAGTGTTAGAAATGCAGCTGAAACATGCAGCCTCCATTGCCCTGTCATCAGGCATTAGATGGTAAATGTCAACGGGCCAGGGGGATCTCAGGATCCAATGAAGGAGTGTGGGATTCCCTCTTTCGACCTTTCCAGCCCTCAGGAAAACATCTAAGGTGACCATCTGCTGAGCCACAAGGTCTCCTTCTCCATTTGTGGACAAACACTAAACCAGAGATTAAAAAAACGAGTCACTAACTAAAAAAAGAAAAAAAATTATAAAGCAGTTTGTTTTGATAGCTTTTCTCAGAAAAGAATGCTGAGAAATAGGAGCATGACCAACTCCTCTGCCACCTCAAAATTCCTGTAAAGGAAGAGGCTGACATGAAGAGGGGCCAGACATGGTGACAGGGAACACGTCGTAGGTCGTCAAACGCCTTGGGGCCAATACACAATGCACTTCCCATGGTGATTTCCACACTAACAAAGTTGCCAAAATCCTTCCTAGAAATTTCACTTGGGGGAATAAAAAAAAAAAAAAACAACTTTAGTGACACCCGTTCTAAGTATGCAACATCCAGGCTGCTTTATTTAGATTTTTCACAAAATATTTATCACTGCCATAGTGATATCTATCCTAAAAAAAGAGACAATGTTTCAAAGCAATTTGACCTTCTCTAGACCTTTTCCAGAGACATCTCTATTCTTACATGTGTATTATTGGCAAATGTTTTGAATTTTTGCGTTTGTAGAGGAAAATGTTCAACATCTCAAGGATTCTTGAGCCATGGGAGACTGCTTTCCACCCACCACTGAGTAGGTTACCAGACAATACTTAATGTTTAGGTATCAAATATGTTGTAACTATCCCTGGATGTGCAGTGAATTAATTACATTGCTCCTCTTTGCTTTTTCATTATTCTATTTATTATGAGGCAAAGCTTGCTGGTGAGGCAGTGTGTCAGTGGGGCACTTCCAAGGAACAACACTAAGGGAGCACTGGAGGAAAGGTTTTAGCACTGATGCTCTTCCAAGATATCAGCATCAACTGGCATTGCTGGCATTCATCTTTTGGGTGAGACTATGGCTGGAATCCTCTCTGTCTTTCAAAGCAAACACTACAGCAGGACACTGCAGGTGAGTTCTTCTGAAATGAACTGATTTCATGATGATATAAAACTCAAGGTTAGACCTTTTTTCCTTGAGGCTGCTGGCTGAGCCCTGCTGGATGCCGTGGAATGCCAGCAGTGCTATGAATATCAGGAATGCTAATAATGGGGTCCCATTTCTAACTTGGGAATAAAGGTTTCATTGCGTGCACATAACTTCCATGGGCAAGCATTCCTCTTCTCTTGCTGGATGTGGGGTGTGGCTCTGCGTGAATAACCCCAGTCCTTTAAAAGAGTACTGGAAGACAGTCAAAGAATTGTTTCTTTGCCAATAGCCATAGTGTGGGGAGGCGCCAGGCTCAGGTTTTAATCCTGCAAATGATTCCAGTGCAGGGAAGGGGGTAAATATAGAGTGCAATCTGAGATCTCGGTCTTCGTTTGGTTTGGAGGTCTGTTTACTGGGGCTTTTATTGCTATGGTTTTTTGTCAAATTTCATTTTTTAATAGTTTAATTAATTTATCCCAATTTTCCCTGGACAATTCATAGTGTTGCTTGTTACTAATTGACTCCAGGGTGTTTAATATGTTTAAGCCAATAGCAGAGGTCAGAGGAACGGTATCTAAAGACTGCACGGAGAGCATCTGCATATTTGATCTTGTTTGCACCAGATTCCTGGCTCTCGCTGTCTTAGGGATACCCAAGAGGGTCACAGTTGTCATAAGCATGTCTTAAGTGGGTGCTTCAGAATTGTCCTGGCATGGTATTCAGCCAATCCAGCAGCTTCCTCGCGTGAAGTATGCGCAGCGGAAGAAGGAGCAAGGGAGGAGGAATGCGTGGCATTCTCCTCCGTCTCTCTGGCACAATTGTCCTGGTGGTCCTGTTTCAGCTGGTGGAATCCAGAACAGCCCCGTGGCTGTGCTAGGGCACGTGAAGCTCCTTTTTCTGGCCCTTATATGGCACAGGATCGCAGTATGACTGGCGGGGTGGGTTTGCAGCTCCTTTTCCTCTTTGCTCAGCCACAACGAGCCCAAACGTGACATGTTTAGGAATCTGGCCCTATATTTCCAAACTCCATGCAAATATGGTAATAATAGCTAAACTGACATTTGCTTTCACTTCTGTATAGTATGTCTTTAATATGATTGCTACCCTTAACATTTAAAGGAACTTTGACAGTTATGTAATCCCTTCAACATTTAAGTACAACAGGAATTTATTATTAAGTGCAGTGGCTGGAAATGGAGCACTTTTTTCATTCACACTATAAACAGTTATGTTGGATTAGTAATCCTGCTTGTCAGAGTTGTTCACTGTTTGATATTAATCAGTAGGTTTATGAAAGGTGCAATAGAAGGCAGAAATGAGCAGTGGAGAAGTTGTAAACCTTGGTTCCATAAAATCAGACTCTATGTATTGCTCAGGTTCAGAACATTTCTTGCAGTGACCTCAGACTGAGGAGAAAGGAAGTGCTGCATTATGGTAGTTATGCCTCTGTCTTTTGGTAAACATATATTTAGTTTCTTGCTATATCAATGCAATAGCTGGTAGTGATAAAAGCCCAGACTTCTGAGAACATTTTTAGGTTGTTTTGTAAAGAGTGTGTTTTTCAGATTGTTGTGTAGATCGAGCATGATACAACCTAGCAAAACACTTAATGATCAAATATTACATGACAAAATGAATACCATCTCCTTTTGGTGCTTATCCACTATTAAAATCATGTGCAAATCACTTCACCTGAATATTTCTACCTAATTTGTGGGTTGTTATCTTTGAGCTACATAATTAATTTCTATATCTTGCAAACACTGTTGCACTGCAGGTTTGTTGTTGATTTTTTTCCTTTTCTTTTTGAACACTTCTGAGTCTCTAGTACATATTCATGCAGCACGTACAGAGGAGCCAGGTCCTGTGGTTGGAAATGTCATCCTGTGAGATCTTTAGATGATCAAAGTGACAATGACACCAATGTAATGCAACATGTCTTCAAACAGTGCATAATAAATTACCATGATTGGTTAATGAACATGCATGATTAATGAAAAAAAATATAGACATATAATAAAGGTTTTCTTGTAAATGTCAGTCGTCTTCCTTATTCAAATGTTTCTGGATATGTCCCTTATATACCTTGCAGAACAGTTGACACATATATGTTTGTAGATATGCAGTAGTGAAATTAAGATGCAATATGCAGCCTTTCACCTAGCAGTGAAATTAAACTTGAATAGCATATTTGACAGGTTTCAATGCCTAGGTTTGTTTCAAGTTAATTTTTCCCCCTTATTTCTGAAATCTTGCTTATTACAGCTTTGTTTTGGCATTGATAAAAAAGAAATCTTCATTGAATAACATTGGACTTTGTTAAACTATGTATATCTTTAGCTGATCACTTTTAAAGCAATGTGGCATTAGCTTTTTAAATTCTTGGGGCTAAATTTAGCATTTACTTATGGTAGGATCAAAAGTGTCAAAAATCTGCATCACTGCCTCATTATCAATCACTGGGATATTTTGGGAGAAGCAGTTTGATTTGCATTGTCGGACCTCCTACCTAGCATCACAGAAGGCTGTGCATCAATAAAATTAACTTTTGTCACTCAAACTAAATTGGGCTGAGGCGCCCCTGCCAGAACAGCTCATGTGCGTGCGAGGAGCGTGGCTGATCCCGGAAACGCGCAAACCTTGTTTGGAAAGGCAGAATAAAATAATTAATCCACTTCTGGGTGTTGTCCCAGAGCTTGCTTTATGTCTTAAAAGAAATCCAACAGGAAGGTGATAGATTCCCCTCCCACAGAGCCAGAAAAATGAAAGGTCTGGATCCAACCAGCACGGCGATGCGCTGGACCAGATCCGGCCTGCTCCATCGCAGTGTGCAGAGCCCTGCCCAGCTGTGCCTCACCTGTGGAAGCCTTGGAGCTGTGATTTACAGTGCAGCCGCCCTTTGCTCAGCTCCCTGTTGCTCTGGAGGAAGTTGCTGCAGCTCTTTGCAGAGCAGAACATACCTCTCATCTCCTGCCAGCTCTGCAGAGCAGAGCAGTTCCCGACGGCAGGATCACCACCCTCGTCGCCTCCTCCATCGCTCGCCAAGGGGGAGACGCTGCTCTTCCAACATCTGGAGGTCTGGTCTGCAGCATGGGGTGCCTGGGGTTCACACGCTCCTCTTCTCCATGGATCTAGTTCCAGCCATGCTGGGAGCCTTTCCCAGTGAAGCCCAGCATGGCTGGCTGTCCTTGCTGCCAGCGGGCCACGGCAGCAAGGCAATAAAAAGACAAAAAGTCCCAGCCTTCCTACAACATCTTATTTTTTGCTGGAGGTTGTATGAGCCAGAGGTAGAGGGAGGTGAATGTGTCCTGCCTGGCTGCATCCTGCATTGCAGCCAACCCACGCAGGAGACAGAGTTGACTTTTCTTGGGCCTTTTGGCAGAAGAAACAATTCTGTTAAGTCTTACCCATTCTGAAACACTTTGTGTGATTGTAAGATAAAAGTGAGTGTATGTTTCTAGGCATCAGTTTCTAAATAACAGATCATCATTCAGTAACTGCTTTTTTTGCCCCTCCTCTCCCAGATTTCTTTCAGGTGCTGTAGTTATACATGATATCAGCTGCTAAAGATATGTCCATAATACATCCAGTCCTCCTTCCTCCTGTGAATTCATCTATAGTCGACCGATAGGTCCTCATCCATGTTTTACTGATAGATTTTGTTGCTTTGAATTCATGATGAAACATAGTAGTTCTCTGTGTTTCTGGGGTTTTGGTTGGTTTGTTTGGGATTTAAGTTGTTCCGTAGCTGCAGTTTGCCCCAGGAAGTGAAGAAACCACTGAGCTTTTTATCCCCTCAGGAAAAAGGTAACAGTTTTTGGAGAGACCGCAAAAAGGCAGGATTAGGGGATTTCAGAAAATCTAAACCTTTTCCTTTTTGTGTTGTACAGGCCTTTCCCAAGATGTCATTCCTAAGGAAAATGTGCTACTGTAGTGTAGGTGGATGAAAAGTTTAAATTTGTGTTTGAACAAAGTCAGTACGTGTACACTCTTCGTCATTTAAATAATTGTTTCAGTATTGTCTGTGAAACAAATATTTAGACTTTGATCTACTTTTAAAGCCAGATAGTTCTTGAAAATTTTCCTAAGCGTTTTCCCCATTTCCCAAGCCAAGGAAATGATTTTTCAAAGCCTAAGTCAGCTTGTTTTATCTCTGAGGAAATAATGTTGTTTTAGTGTACCTGATAGGGCCAACTGAAATATTAAGAAACAAGTGTTTTCTTTTGTGCAAAGATTTCTAAAAGGGTAAATCCAAACAGGACAAAATAATTTCTTTTAAACCCTTAAGCAAATTAAATGTACAGATTTGCACTGTCTTTTCAATAATATTCTTCAAATTCTAATTAACAAGTAAATCAGGCCACATGCAAATTTAAATTCAAATGAAATTTTATTAAATTTTATCAAATTAATGGTATGGGACATGAAAGGAAATAATCTTAAAAATATCAGCAGAACACTCACTGGTAATAATGCTAATTGACTTCTCTTTGCTCTATACTTTGGGAGCTTGGACAAATCGGTCAGAAAGAAAGAGATAGACTTGTATGAATTACAGTCTGTGCTGGGTGAGAAATAGCTTCAAGAGGTTGAACTCTTTCATGGCAAGATCTGAGCCAAAATATTAAGAATGGCAACATTTGATAAACCAGCTTTCACCTTTTCAATGCTTATAACAATCAAGCTTCAGTTTGACATTACAAAATAAGCTGTATTTTTTCCAAATTTTTTTAAATTTAAAATTGCTTGTTAAATTAATTGCCAGAAGGAAAAGTGGGATGCTCCATGTTAAAAAACTGTTGACCTCTGGCATGTGTGGTTCTGGTGTAGGTAATTTTGACTAATCATGGGATGAGCTCTACTGGTGTTTGGAACCAAGTTCCAAGGATGAATTAGTGGCATCACTTGGAAACAGATTTTACAACTGAAAGTAAATAAACTGTGAAAAATCTAATCCTGAAGACAAAATTAATTAGTATGAG